TTGGCTGTTTCCTGGGTTCCTGAGATAACTGATAAATAAATAATCTCCAACTCTTTCTCACTTTCTCACTTTCTAACTGAAGAGGGTAATAACCTGGCAAAGTATTTTGAAAATTCAAATTACTTCACATAATAAAATCATTTCCTGCAAAAGCTTATTAGCGTTCTTGCTGATAACCGTCTAGCTGGAAACTAAATAAATCTTTTCTGGTTTCTAACTTTTGTTTTGAAGTCTCCACATATTGAGGAAACTGGTGTCATACAAGTCATGCTCACTAACCCAAAAGCAGTAATATTAGAAAATAATGCTTCAAAAATCCATGTGAAAAATACATACACTCCAAAAAAAACTCTTGGCTTAAAGAAAATCAAAATGAAAGTTACACAGAATTTTTATACATTGATGACAACTTAAATGTCTCTTAGCAGAGAAATGTACAAATAATTTGTGGCATGTCCACAGTGAGAAATGAAAGAATAAAAGGTACATGTATAAATTTTAAAGCTAGTGCTGAGCAAATAAAGCAAATAGCAGACTGATCTATATAAAGCTTGAAAATATACAGAACACTATATTATATGCTGTTTCTGGATACATATCTATTGTATATGTATTAATCGTGTAACAACATGAGTTAAATGATAAATATTACCTTCAGTGCAGTGGCTTCCCCTGGAGAGGGAGAGATGAGATCTGGGAGGTATATACAAAATACTTATACTATACCTAATTTTTGTTTCTTTTATTAAAAAACACCTCAAGCAAATATACAAAATATTAATACTCGATATTGAGTGGGGTACACAGGGTTTTTTCTATTCCATTCTTCTGTATATTTGCAATATTTAATGATATTTTAAAAATTAAAAACTGAATGACAACAAAAGCCCTTCATATCAAAATCTGTAGGGTGCAAAAAAGTCCAGAGGAAAATCAGTAACAAAACAAGACTTGAAAACAAATGAATTAAAATTTAAAGACAAGAGCTGGCAAAGTGCAACAAAATAAATCCAAAGAAGATAGAAAGGTGAAAATGCTAAAAACACAAATGAATATAAAACAAAGTACAACAAAGTGGTGACACAGTTGCCTAGTATAATTAAAAACTGCTAAAAATAAATGACCCACTACACCTGTATCCCTCAAATTTTTGGTCTTGGAACTCCTACCCTTTTAAAAGCTTCTGTCTTTATTATTTCTATTAATATTCAATATACTAGAAATTAAAACCATGAAAATATTTAAATGTTCATTTATCTAAAAATTATGAACATGTTTTTGTGAAATATAACTTCATTTTCCAGAACAACCAAAGATGTAGAGAGAAGACTGGCATTGCTTTGTTTGCAAATTTCTTTACTATCTGGCTTAACAGAAGGCAACTGCTTCTGCATTTAATCTGTTGTGCTATGTTGTTTTGGTGGAAGTCTAAGAAGAAAAAATCTGGCCTTGCAGATATGGCACTGGAAAACAAAGAGTAGCCATTTCATATCATTGTGGATATTTTTTGGTACAATAACAAAACTCAACATGTGGTAATTTCCTAAAGATGCAATGTGGACTCTGAAACCCTATCAATGAACTTTTTTTGCACCATCACATTAGAATCCATTATCTTGCTTTGAATTGACCCTTTACACATGCATGACTTTTTAACATTGTGCAGTGATCACCTAGAAAATACTGGTTTACTGAGTTCTGCAGGTTTATCATATATTGGCACATTTCCTTATACATCCCAAAAAATGACATTCATTAATATCACTACTGATCTCATTAGCAAAGGCATTCCTAAGTGAACCTGCTATTGTTTCCACTGGGGGTGATTTTACTAGCGGTAAAAATACAGTAACTAGTAACACAGTTTGGAGCCATTGCTTTGATCCTTGCTGAAGCACCAGAAGTTTTTGCTTACACTGCTCTAGCAACATCAGTGAAAAAGACAAATAGCATCTTCGTATTGTTATCAAAAAGGCAAGTAACATCTGAGTATTATTAGAGTAGTTTTGACCTTTCAGAATCCTGGAAAGGGTCATGGAGATGCTTAGGGCTCTGCAGTCTACACTTCTGAGAACCACTGAGACACAATCCCTTGGAAAGTACAATCAAGAGAAAATGAGAAGGCACTTAACATCAGGCACAAATGACGGTAAAAAAACTATAGTTAATTCTTAAAATTATGACTAATATATATCTTTCTTATGTGAACTTATACATATATGTATACATATATATATATATGAATGACCCTGAATAAGGGTATCAACCAAAACACAAGTTGGAAGTTAGAATCCTGGTTCCTGCACTTAGGAACTGTGAGACCTTAGACATTTTGTCTTCCCTGTGACTCAGTTCCCTTATCCATAAGGAGATGACAAAAACACTCCCTCAGATTCTGCTGAGGACTAAATGAATTGACCCAAGGGCTTAAAAAATGGCATGTGGTTAAGTGAGATGTGCTAGCTGCCTTATACTGGAATTCTACCTATGAATATGAAATTGGCCCAGTTTTTGAGGAAAACCTAAATGACAAAAATTGAGTTAAGAAGAAATAGAAAAATCTATCAACCAGTTGGTAGAACTGCCTGGACTTGGTCTCATTTTTCCTACTAATGACTTTCAATAATACTCTGCAGCCTCTCCCTCTTCGGCGAAGCACATCCTGAGCTAATCCATTGCTATCCTGTAGTTAAACCGAGACCGGTGCAGCCTAGTTTACTAACCCACCTCCCACCAAACCCCCAGCTCAGGCTTCGCTACTGACCTTCAAGGCACCAACAAGGAGTCTGTTCTTTAACTCCTCTGTGGTGCTTACTCCTCTGCGGACCCAGATGATGAAAGGGTGAAGGGACAAACATCTTTACTCAACTAAGAGTACAAGTGCAGCCCTCTTTGGTGGCTACTGCGTCTCCCATACATGCCCTCTGGGGCGGATCCCGCAAGTGGCACGGGCCCGTACACTATGTTCTGGAATGCAAGACATGTGGAAACGCCAGCCCTGGCCGAATTCTCTGCGGGAAATACAGCTACTGCCCACACATGCACACCCCATGGCCTCTTGCTGCTGGGTGAACGCTTGCAAGGCATTCAAGCCTGGATGCTTCACACAGTCACTGACCTCCAGGAAACTGGCAAGTTTGCCACACCAAACTGAGTAGTCCGCTTCACAGGATCTCCTCATCCCTCACTCCTCCCTTCCACATCTCTCCATTCTCTTTTTGGGGATCAGCAAGTCTACTCCCAACTACACTGCTCGTTCTCCCTGCAGGTTCTCCCCAAGTTCTGAGAGCTTCATGCCTCAAATGGTGGCAACAGTGGCAGGGAGAACTACTAGAGACTGAGGACACAAAGCTCCCTCTCTTCTGATGCTCCTTCATCTCCTAGCAATTCACTTATAACACACTTGGGGAAAGTGTCAAGCTGGGAATGGATGAGACAAATAGGCTAGTTTGGCCTCATCAGTCAGGGAAACTAAGAACGGGCAGTATTTAACTTAGATGGGAATAGACTTAAAAAAACATGGAGCCATCTTGGCATATTTGAAAAGTAACTAAATGGGAGTGTGGTAAGCTTTTCCTATGTGATCCTGGAGTAAAAACCAGGACAAATTGATGTAATTACATCAACACAAGTTTTAATATGATAACCTAATAACCATTAACAATGACAACTGTCCCAAATTGGAATAGGCAACATTGTGAACTTTCGGCCACTTCACAGGCAAAAAGATGAGTGTGTATTTGATGGGAACATTGAGAGAAAGGGAACAAATTAATAAGAGATTGGACTGAGTCCTTAGGCTCTTGCAATTATATTTTTAAAATTTCAAACACAAGGAAGTTGAAAACATAATACAATTATACAATTATTAGGAAATAAGCTCTGATGGGAGTGGAGGGTAGCAAGAAGAGATTGTAAGAGGGATGGTGGGATTTCTGTTTTTGTTTCTTTCAGATGGTAAAGACATTAGTATCTCTACAGACAATAGCAAAGGAAAAAGAGAAAGATGATGATGTAGTATCTGATCTTGGGACCAATTTCCCAGTGGTGTCCTGAATATGCAACCTGGTAAGGTCTGGGGTAGCCCAAACCCCCAGTCAGTCATCACTAACCATAAGCAGCCACATCAATTTATTTCTATATACCTTAGAAATACTGTGTGGTGCCCATGCCATAATGTGAGAAGATTGCGAGTACGACTTCAGATAATCCTCAAGCTATAAAAATAAATTTCATCCATTCATTTATTTAAATATTTGAGCACAATTAAGTGTGAGGCACTTTCTCAGGGCTGGGGATAAAACAAAGAACAAGAGATGATTCCTGTCCTCATGGAGCTTACTTTGTGCTAGAGGGATGGGAAGTGACCAAATGTACATTGGAAGACTACAAATTCTATATACAAAGATAGTGAGAGGAATGGTCAATAGGGGAACAAGCCAAGACCAACCAAGAGAAAGGTATTAAGCAGGGAGCACAGAATGTGGCCAGATCCCATTGTAGAAGTATGAATGAAAAAGGAGGCCACAGTATGGCCATGCAGGTACTTTAATACTCAACAGTCAAGATAATGTCAGTGATTATTTAGCATCTGAAGGGCTCAGTTTTTCATCCAACTTTTTTGTTACAAATACATTCTTCAACAACAAAAAAGATAACACACAAACTGTGTAACATTAAGTCCTGTCAATGAGTAAATTAAAAAGTTACTTAAAAAAATAAAATAGTAAAAATAAAGTAGAGCTCCTCTACCTGCAGTAGGGTTGGTATGTCTGAAACCCTAAATACTTGTCTCACCTTTCTATAACCCACAGCAATTTGGGGCACAGTATGCATTGCACAGAACCACAGAGAAGATGCAGAGCTCCATAAGGAAATTGTGTAACAACAAAACCTACCTTATCTTGTTTAAAGATTGCAACTAATATTGTATTTTAAATTATGTTGCTCTATAATGCTAATGAAATCTTTTGTTAAAGCTCAATGAAAATTAGAACAAGTCTGAATAATAAGCATCCCTTTATTTGCTGACGCCATTACAAAAAACGGATTACATTAGCAACAAAAAAAGTGTTTTCTTGAAGTCAGAGGCAGTTACTCCCCAAAATGTTAAGTAAAACAGGTACAATATCAGTATTAAAATGTTAAATATTACATTGTCTTTACCACTTTTGATCTTCTGAACAATTTTATTGAGCAAAATAAGATACAAGATTACATGTTTATTTTATCTTCAGGAATGTAAAGGTCTAATTATTCAAACAGTTTTTATTATAAAACTAAACTCTGAAGGTGTCTACAGAGTTGCTTTTTTCTCTTTAGATCAGTAGTCTAACAAGGATTAGAAAAGACAAAACTCTGTTCAGTGTTTCTGACGAAGTACAAAGGGTGAAAACATAAATAAGGCTTTAATTTGGCAAAATATAATACAATGCCTTCTGTTATCCTTGAATGAATAGTATCCCAATTACTTCACTCTGCAAAAGATCAGAAAGAAATGAATGCATTTTTTAAAAGACACAAAAGGTAATCAGAAGGTATTTGTCAAACACCAAAAGTACATATTCCATCTGATCTAGCATTGCCCTTGTAACTACGATCAAAGTAATTAATACTAATAGTAATCAAAAACAAGAGAAAAACCTCAGGATTCGTAAGTTGTTTTGGGGTATATTTTTTAATATGTGAACCAAAACCTCAGACTAAACTTAGAACAATGTACAGATTTCAAAATCTATTAGAAAACACTTATAAGAATATGGGGAATCCATTTTTATTAGTTCTACTCTAAAGAATGTAAAGCTAGTAGGTGAGCAGTTAGCATTGAAAAGCTGATGTTTACAATTCACCTAAGAATGAATAATTAAAGTTTCAGACAGAGATCCTGAAGCCTTATGAAGCTTTCCAAGTTCAGATAAAATGACTAAAGAAATCAAACTTCAAAAGCCATCAGAGAGACTAGAAGGACTTAATCAAATGTAACATGTGAATTTTGAATGGATCCTGGTTTGGGAAAATTGCTAAAAAGATATATTGGGTATAATTAGGGATAATTGAATGTGGGTTTAATAATGGATGAATTAAAGAACTACCAGTTTTTGGGGGATGTGATATTAGTACTATGGATTTGTAAGAAAATGTCTTTGTTCTTGGGAGATGCATACTGAAGAGTTCAGGGATAAAAAGCCATATCTAAAAGTTATTTTCAAATGGTTTGACATCAGTAAATATGGATACACAGAGAGATGAAGCAGGTGAAGGGTGTGTGAGTGTTATACTATTCATTCAACTTTTCTTTGCATGTGAAAATTTTCAAAATAAAAAGCTGAGGGGAAAGAAGGAATTAGAAAGTTAAAAAGCAAACTTACAACTGGTTATATCTTGTTCTCTCATTAAAACAAGATTAACAGTTTATCAGAAAGTCTACATAGCCCACTGATACATTAAACTATGAAGAGCTAAGTAAACACATTACAGAAAATGAAAACCTGATTCACATATGAAGTGTAGAAATAAAAGCTGATTTTTACCTGGAACATTAACTTTTATGCTTCAATAGCACTACAAAAGAAGTTTTTTCTTTCAGAAACCAGACAACTGCATCACAAAAGAATTTATTTGTCAAAGGGAGTAGAGAGAGCACATACATACAAAACAAGTAACACTAAACTTCACCTCAATTTTTTCTAGATAGCACTGTGAGCCTCTCCAATTCACTACTGAGAAACCAAATACCAACTTCAGGAAAAAGTCAGAATTGACTGAAGAAACTCTTTAAGAGGCTGGCAACAAAGGATGTGACACAATTATGAGAAAAGAAAGCAATGATAAAAGAGATCAGAGCATAAAGTACCTGAAATTAGGGAGAAGTACCAAATAAGTGCACAGACCATGGGCCCAGACCACCCTGATTTTATTTAATTTTATTTTTTGGTATCATTAATCTACAGTTACATGAGGAACATTATGTTTACTAGACTCCCCCAATCACCAAGCCCCCCCCCACAAATCCCATTACAGTCACTGTCCATCAGTGTAGAATCACTACTTGTCTTCTCTGTGTTGCACAGCACTCCCCATGCCCCGCCTTCACATTATACATGCTAATCATAATGCCCCCTTTCTTCCCCCGACCCTTATCCCTCCCTTCCCACCCATCCTCCCCAGTCCCTTTCCCTTTGGTAACTGTTAGTCCATTCTTGGGTTCTGTGTTTCTGCTGCTGTTTTGTTCCTTCAATTTTTTCTTTGTTCTTATATTCCACATGTGAGTGAAATCATTCAGTACTTGTCTTTCTCTGCCTGGCTTATTTCACTGAGCATAATACCCTCTAGCTCCATCCATATTGTTGCAAATGCGGACCACCCTGATTTTAAATTTCAGCTCACCCAGTTAGCTGTGCGTTCTTCAAGTTACAGAACCTCTTTGGGTCTGTTGTAAAAGGGGAAGAAAAAAATAAATAATAATACCTACCCTACCTAGCACACTGGGCTGCTGTGAAGATCAAACTAATGACCACAGTTAGAAGCATATTCGTGAAGTGTCAGCTATTAAAATCACCGTCCTCCCTCCATAGGATCCCACAAACAGGTTCTGAGGTGAGGGAGCCTGAGGGTTATGGGTGGGGGCTCTGTGTTCCCCAAAATCCTTATGCTGAGATTCTATTCCCTGATCTAACAGTATTTGGAAGACTTCACATTCATGAATGGGATTAGTGCCCTTATAAAAGGGCCCCCAGAGCGCTCCCTCACTCCTTCTGCCATGTGAGGAGCAGCAGGAGGACAGCCATCTTTAAACCAGGAGGTGGTTCTCACGAACACAGAATCTGCGAGCATCTTGAGCTCAGACTCCAAGCCTCCAGAACTGTGAGAAATAAATGTTTAAGTCACCCAGATTATAGGATTTTTGTTAAAGCAGCCTAAAAAGACTAAGGCACTGGGGTAATGAAGTTTCCTGATACAGTCAGATATACACTTAGAATGCTTAGAAAAGTGGCAAATATGAAAGAAGGAAAACCAGATACCTGGGAACAAAAAAAAAAAATACACTATAAAACACTAGGGTTGCCAGTCCAGTCCAAAACTACAAAAAATCATCTTAATTCAAAAAGTGGGGGAGAAATGACAGGGTTTTTTTTTGAGGGAAGAGACTTCCAGAAGAAAAGAAAGGTTAAGGTTTTACAAATAAAGGATATAAGATAAATATACCTTCCCCTACAGCTCACGAATGCTAAGTCCTGTGTATTAGGATTTAGAAAACTAAATTACTGCATATCATCTTTCTTGTCTTTTAAAAACAGCTTTTCCTGTACTGAATTTGTACAACATTATCTTAATTCATAGGTATGTACTAACAGTATATACTAAAAATAAGCAAGTTTCTTGACAAATATTAATCTACATCTCTGATGAGTAAGAAATTTCTATTTCCAATTTAATCATCCAGTAGTAGTTTTAAAAAAGTTTACAAGAGGGAGAAATATATTGAGCAAAAACTGATGACTGGAGTTAAAAACCTCAGAGTAATTTAAAAGGCATAAAGAAGAGCTATAGGAACCAAGGGGTGCCTAAAGGGAGGTCATCATTGTCAGTGCTGGGTTATGGAAAGAATGAGTTCTCAAGTGCCTGGTGGCCCTCTACCTTCAGACAACCCACCCTATCCTTTAGGATACACTCTTGAAACTCAATCACCCTTTCATTAGCCAAATTTGGACTTTATTACCTGGCCAAAAAATGCTGAGTTATCACTCAGAGGAGCTGCATGACAAACAGTTCAGTTTTAGCTGTACTGCTTGGGTATATGTATTTGTTTTAATAAATTACAACAATTTTATAAATCAGGAAGAAAAAAATCTGAAAAAAGTGTTACCACCAATGATCAGTATTAGTCTCAAACTTAATATGGTTAAGGCAAATGTGTATATAAGAAAGACAAAAAAATGGCTCATAAGACTTACTATAAGCAGAACACATGTTTGGGAGGAACACTTTAAAGGACACTTTTGAAATGTTGGAGAGATATTGCTGTTGGAAGTCTAAACGTAAGTGGTAACAGGTGATCTTACTGTTTTTTTTTAAGCTCTCAGAAATGAAGCCCTTCCCTTATAACATAAAGGCGTATAGATTGACATCAGCATATTTAGCATATTTTGTAACTATTTTCACTATCTTGTTTAGATTAACAATTAGGAAATCACTGATGACTTCAGGAAAAAACACAGTTCCAGTGGAATGGCAAAAAGTCATTCTAAAGTAGACGGAGCAGTTAATAGCAAGTAAAGAAATAGATACTATGAGAATATAGTTTCTTTATTTAAGAATCTTTGTTAAACATGAAGTAAAAAAATTAGGGTAGTAACTTGAAAAGAAATACAAAGTTAAAATAAGACATTTGAGCATGTTTTCAAAACTGAACAGAAGGAAAGTGTGGAAAGAAGAGAGCAGGGCTGAAGACATACAAGGAGAGTTTCCCTGTGAGGCAGGAAACAAGACTATTGACAATCATTTTGGGGAAGGGGGATTAATAATGTGGCAGAAGTTTTATTCTAGGCAACTTGCCAAGGATAAAAGATTAAGATATAATTATTTTTTGCTGACTGGCTAAAGGAATGTGCTGGGTTCATCTGGAAAGTCTTCTTAGGGGTAACTGACCTATTGAAAGAGTACTATAAGGGAGAGTGTTCGCTAAGGCAGGCCAGAGGACATCATTCTTTAAAAGTGAGACAGAATGCCCCCTGTATAATCCAAATGGCAGTCCACCCCACCCTCCAAGACACCCACCTATCCCGAGGCCTCTGGACGGCTGCAGCAGTCTCACTACGGGTTCTAAAGGAACAATTCAGTGATGGATTGCCCCATGTGTTGCACAGGTCGCTTAACTGATCTCCAGACACCATGACAATATTAGAACAAACAGCCTCAAAAGAAGAATATCTGAAGTGTTCAGTGCCTATTAGAATATCCTAACTACCCAATGCAGTGTGTGACTTACAGCATTCTTAAAACAGGCAAAATCCAGGAATCAATCAATCAATCTGCATTCACCAGCTGGAATCCAAGTAATTTATAAATGCCAACAAATCTGAGCTTTCCCAAGTAATAAGGGTGATAAAATTTCATAACATGGTTTGGTTAATGATGGGTTTATCTATCTTCAATTAAGCTCACTTCAGTAGTTTAAAACTGGACTTCTCTGACTACCTATAAGCAAACTTAAAAAGAACCCAGACTGCCAATTTAAAGCTGTCACAACTTGATTTTCAGTTTAGCATCTTACCCCAGTAATGATGTTACTGTCACTTTATCAAATCATTAAACACACACACACACACACACACACACAGATACTTTATCAGAACTAAAATCACAATAAACAAAATGAGCAATTGCAGGCATTATGGCAATTAGTCAAAGACAGGTAAACAAGTTGTAAGACCAGTCTGTTTTATAAAAAGGTCCAGAAGACAAAGATAAAGGTTTTTCCTTTCCAAGCTACAAGACTAAAATATGTACAAGACAGAAATAAAACACCAAGAAAGCTAAAGCTGTCAACTGGAGGTTCTGAGAAAGATTAAAAAGGAGTATCTCCACTAGGGCAACAGAGCTCCTGTATTTATGGTAAACACACACTACACATTCACACACACACTATGTCAATCACCCATAAACAGTCAGTAATGCTTTAGTTATTCTTACCTAATACCTGGTAGTGTTCTTTCTCTTTTGTGAGTTGTTGGTTTACTGCCTGAAGCAACTGCTGTAACTGTGTTACAGTCTGATTTAGACTTACAGACATTGTTTCCTTCTCGGAAGATTCCTAAAAACAAGATGAAAGTGATGAAAAATTCCAAAACACAAGAAAGGGTCATTGGCAACCAAAAAATGGAAAACATTTTACTGCCATTTTAAACAGAATCATGAAAAATGTCATGAAAATCAACAATAACAAAAAAAAACAGAGAAAGTGTCTGCTACCTAATGGTGCAAATTAATTGTACCAAAGAAAGCTGTATTATAAATGTTGACACACGGTCAGATAGGAAAAAAATCTATAATCTATGAATATCAGATATAAATACATTTCCCCTTTCAGAAGAAAATTTGCCAGGCACCAAAGGGGAGAACATTCATAACAGCAAAAGTTAACAGTTAACATATACTGAGCTCTCACTAAGTGCTAGGCACTATTCTAAGTGTTTTATATGCTTATTCCTTTCAAGAATTCTACAAGATAGACACTGTTGTCATTGCCTTTTACAGATGGAGCTATTAAAGCACAGAGAGGCTAAGGAATTTGCCTGAAGTTACACAGCCATGAAGTAGCAGAACCCAGATTCAAACACAGGCAGCCTAACAGAGTCCAAACTCTTAAGCAGTATACCATTATACCCTCCAATACAAACCTTAAAATTAACATAATCTCTCACTATGCTACAGCAAAATATTAATAAAATCCCTGCACTTCAGAGATAAAACATTTCCAAGACGACCTTCAGGTAAGAATGCAGCACAACCAGTGGAAGCAAATTCTAAAGGCACCATTTCAGGCAAAGATAGACCTTTTTTATTCTTCAGATACTTTACAAAGTTAACTAGCCCAGAGGTTTGAAGTTAAAGAAAATACACACCATTTCTGGGGAAACATCACTATTCTCAATAACAGTAGTGTCTCCAGCAGCTTTTACAATTTTTGACTGGATAAGATCCAGCGACTTTTGAGCCTGTAAGGAAAGCAACATGGTAGCCTCTAAATACTGCAACTGATAAATATACACACCAAAAAAAAAAGTGATTTTCTTTTTTTGTACAAGACTAAAGCTCTTCACAAAATACAATGTAAAGCCAACCTATTCTTTTTTTCTCCAAAATGAAAATCGCTTCCTCCCCCACCAGACTATAAAAACACATGGTGTTTTTAAAAATTTCAAACAATACAGCAAATGTATTAAGAAACTAAGCACAGAAGAAACTACAGTTGATATTTAGATCAACATTAGTCTAGATTAGAGATCTACTAAATATGGCCACAGCCTGTTTCTGTACAGTTCACAAGCTAAGAATGGTTATGTTTTTTAAGGGTTATATTAAATAAACAAATAAGAGTATGTGAGAGAGACCAGATGTGGCCCACAAATCCTTAAACAGTTTGTGGAACTGCTGACCCCTGGTATACATCTCTGATCTGTGCACGTGTTCACAGAAAACAAAACTGGCAGAAAATTTTATACAAATAAGCTTTTAATCTGCATGGTGTTTACAAAGTATTTTTTAACTTTTTCATGTCAAGAAATAAATATGTGCATTTCCGATCAAATGTTGCATATTATTTCTATTATACAGATACAGGACAATTCATTGTCACTCATAAATTACAGTCTATCTGTATCTCTGAGCATCTGTTTAATATCCTTAAAATACCTTCTGAGAAACTAAACTGTTAGCTAAAAATGTGTGTTTTATATTTTGACCCAGAGGTCAAAAATTAAAATCATGTATCAAATAAATTAGATTGTTCACCCTTGACAATGTACCATGTATCTAAGTTGAGTTCTAAAACTTCCTAAGTTCACATTTTACCTACTGGTCTAAAAATAACACCAAAATAATATAAAGCAATTCTAGATTCCTGGACTTCTGCATAACAATTATAAGCTATGAATTATATGCAATCAAAAAAAATTGACATAACTGTTAATGACTTCCATAAACACAATCACAGCTCTAAAGCAGGTTATAATAAGCACATGTGAATTATACTATTAAAAATATCTGTAAACAAAATTACAAACATGTCAACCTAATGCAAAGAAATGTAATACTAAAAACATCCTTTATATGAGATTAAGAAAAATCTATATCCACAAATAAATAAAATGAACAAATTTCTGAAATCAGAGATCTCTAAATCTTTTAGCTTCATAAAGATCAAAAGAAACATACTTTGTAAATGCATAAGCAAATCCCTATTTTAAAAAAATACGGATGTGACCAAATTTTTAAGAATAATTTCAATTAAATTTAATATTTAATCTATACTTTATGAAGCAATTAATTACATAAATGTGATGAAATGAAGCAAATTAAGAATGGGAAAACAAGAAAAAAAATTTAGTTCCAATAACATAACTATGTAATAGGCAGCTGAAATTTATAAACATATTAACATAATGATGTTAAAGAACAAATCCAGAATTAGCAGTATGTTTGCTTAAGAGTCAAGTCCCGACACAGGAGGATGATACCGCAACCTTAGGGACAAGCAGTGTTTTACCTTATGCAAGTCACCAGCTACCTTTTGTCTTTCACTCTGTTCAATTCTAAGTTTTGTGAGTGTTTCATTCAACTGTGCCTTTAACTGTAAAAATAAAGGAACATCATAATTAATTTACATCCTTTTTTGACAATGCTGAGACCTCTAGGACTGAAGAATGAATGAGATCACTAACAGTTATTATGCACAGTGGATTAGCCAATATGCTGCACCAGATGTATAGAAATGCTAAGCAGGGGAGGTTCCCATCTGAAAAGCTAAACAAAAGAAAAGCTATAGAAATGATCTGGAGTTTAGAATAGAATACTGCAAATGCAAACACAAAACCATCAAATTCCAATAAAGTACCTTTTAAAAGTATAACTATTCACATAAGTAGTTCACATCTAAATTATCACAAATTAAGAGGCAAGTTATCAGGAATTTTGCTAATACACCTAACAAGCTACAAGACTAAAATATGTACAAGACAGAAATAAAACACCAAGAAAGCTAAAGCTGTCAACTGGAGGTTCTGAGAAAGATTAAAAAGGAGTATCTCCACTAGGGCAACAGAGCTCCTGTATTTATGGTAAACACACACTACACATTCACACACACACTATGTCAATCACCCATAAACAGTCAGTAATGCTTTAGTTATTCTTACCTAATACCTGGTAGTGTTCTTTCTCTTTTGTGAGTTGTTGGTTTACTGCCTGAAGCAACTGCTGTAACTGTGTTACAGTCTGATTTAGACTTACAGACATTGTTTCCTTCTCGGAAGATTCCTAAAAACAAGATGAAAGTGATGAAAAATTCCAAAACACAAGAAAGGGACATTTGCAACCAAAAAATGGAAAACATTTTACTGCCATTTTAAACAGAATCATGAAAAATGTCATGAAAATAAACAATAACAAAAAAAAACAGAGAAAGTGTCTGCTACCTAATGGTGCAAATTAATTGTACCAAAGAAAGCTGTATTATAAATGTTGACACACGGTCAGATAGGAAAAAAATCTATAATCTATGAATATCAGATATAAATACATTTCCCCTTTCAGAAGAAAATTTGCCAGGCACCAAAGGGGAGAACATTCATAACAGCAAAAGTTAACAGTTAACATATACTGAGCTCTCACTAAGTGCTAGGCACTATTCTAAGTGTTTTATATGCTTATTCCTTTCAAGAATTCTACAAGATAGACACTGTTGTCATTGCCTTTTACAGATGGAGCTATTAAAGCACAGAGAGGCTAAGGAATTTGCCTGAAGTTACACAGCCATGAAGTAGCAGAACCCAGATTCAAACACAGGCAGCCTAACAGAGTCCAAACTCTTAAGCAGTATACCATTATACCCTCCAATACAAACCTTAAAATTAACATAATCTCTCACTATGCTACAGCAAAATATTAATAAAATCCCTGCACTTCAGAGATAAAACATTTCCAAGACGACCTTCAGGTAAGAATGCAGCACAACCAGTGGAAGCAAATTCTAAAGGCACCATTTCAGGCAAAGATAGACCTTTTTTATTCTTCAGATACTTTACAAAGTTAACTAGCCCAGAGGTTTGAAGTTAAAGAAAATACACACCATTTCTGGGGAAACATCACTATTCTCAATAACAGTAGTGTCTCCAGCAGCTTTTACAATTTTTGACTGGATAAGATCCAGCGACTTTTGAGCCTGTAAGGAAAGCAACATGGTAGCCTCTAAATACTGCAACTGATAAATATACACACCAAAAAAAAAAGTGATTTTCTTTTTTTGTACAAGACTAAAGCTCTTCACAAAATACAATGTAAAGCCAACCTATTCTTTTTTTCTCCAAAATGAAAATCGCTTCCTCCCCCACCAGACTATAAAAACACATGGTGTTTTTAAAAATTTCAAACAATACAGCAAATGTATTAAGAAACTAAGCACAGAAGAAACTACAGTTGATATTTAGATCAACATTAGTCTAGATTAGAGATCTACTAAATATGGCCACAGCCTGTTTCTGTACAGTTCACAAGCTAAGAATGGTTATGTTTTTTAAGGGTTATATTAAATAAACAAATAAGAGTATGTGAGAGAGACCAGATGTGGCCCACAAATCCTTAAACAGTTTGTGGAACTGCTGACCCCTGGTATACATCTCTGATCTGTGCACGTGTTCACAGAAAACAAAACTGGCAGAAAATTTTATACAAATAAGCTTTTAATCTGCATGGTGTTTACAAAGTATTTTTTAACTTTTTCATGTCAAGAAATAAATATGTGCATTTCCGATCAAATGTTGCATATTATTTCTATTATACAGATACAGGACAATTCATTGTCACTCATAAATTACAGTCTATCTGTATCTCTGAGCATCTGTTTAATATCCTTAAAATACCTTCTGAGAAACTAAACTGTTAGCTAAAAATGTGTGTTTTATATTTTGACCCAGAGGTCAAAAATTAAAATCATGTATCAAATAAATTAGATTGTTCACCCTTGACAATGTACCATGTATCTAAGTTGAGTTCTAAAACTTCCTAAGTTCACATTTTACCTACTGGTCTAAAAATAACACCAAAATAATATAAAGCAATTCTAGATTCCTGGACTTCTGCATAACAATTATAAGCTATGAATTATATGCAATCAAAAAAAAACTGACATAACTGTTAATGACTTCCATAAACACAATCACAGCTCTAAAGCAGGTTATAATAAGCACATGTGAATTATACTATTAAAAATATCTGTAAACAAAATTACAAACATGTCAACCTAATGCAAAGAAATGTAATACTAAAAACATCCTTTATATGAGATTAAGAAAAATCTATATCCACAAATAAATAAAATGAACAAATTTCTGAAAGAGATCTCTAAATCTTTTAGCTTCATAAAGATCAAAAGAAACATACTTTGTAAATGCATAAGCAAATCCCTATTTTAAAAAAATACGGATGTGACCAAATTTTTAAGAATAATTTCAATTAAATTTAATATTTAATCTATACTTTATGAAGCAATTAATTACATAAATGTGATGAAATGAAGCAAATTAAGAATGGGAAAACAAGAAAAAAAATTTAGTTCCAATAACATAACTATGTAATAGGCAGCTGAAATTTATAAACATATTAACATAATGATGTTAAAGAACAAATCCAGAATTAGCAGTATGTTTGCTTAAGAGTCAAGCCCCGACACAGGAGGATGATACCGCAACCTTAGGGACAAGCAGTGTTTTACCTTATGCAAGTCACCAGCTACCTTTTGTCTTTCACTCTGTTCAATTCTAAGTTTTGTGAGTGTTTCATTCAACTGTGCCTTTAACTGTAAAAATAAAGGAACATCATAATTAATTTACATCCTTTTTTGACAATGCTGAGACCTCTAGGACTGAAGAATGAATGAGATCACTAACAATTATTATGCACAGTGGATTAGCCAATATGCTGCACCAGATGTATAGAAATGCTAAGCAGGGGAGGTTCCCATCTGAAAAGCTAAACAAAAGAAAAGCTATAGAAATGATCTGGAGTTTAGAATAGAATACTGCAAATGCAAACACAAAACCATCAAATTCCAATAAAGTACCTTTTAAAAGTATAACTATTCACATAAGTAGTTCACATCTAAATTATCACAAATTAAGAGGCAAGTTATCAGGAATTTTGCTAATTAGTTTTTAAAGGCTTTCTTGACCTATATAGTTGAGTCAGTTGTGTAATTTTTAAAGACACTGAAGAGAAGATACAAATACAGTAAAATGAAAACTTCAAAATGTAAACGATGAGCGCCTTAAAGGACATCATGAAAGAGATCAGTGCAAGACCACACTAGCCTAATTTTACCAACAAGAATGTCTTAAGATATACTTAGTACCCAATTTGTCAAAAATAGTTATAAAGCCCTGTAACACTACTGCCCATATGTAATGCCTCTTCTCCTGATTAACTTGTTCCAATTAAATATGAAATTAGGGAAATGGACTACACTAACAAAAAATAACTTTATTAAACTCATCAATTTAAGTGATTTTGCCTCCCACGCATAAGTATAACATTCCAAACAGTTTTAGAGACCCAAAATGGAGAAATACAAGACACTGACAGTTCGAAATGCAGGGAGAATTAATGAGGGACATTACATTTGGAAATTTTATTTTAGGAACTCTTTAAATACCAAAATACTTCAGTTTTTGCTCCTTTATTTATCTGTGATTTAATACATCTGAGAGGTTCCCTGGGCCCAAGAACAAATGATGTATAGACAAACAAATTTTATTTTATCTTATAATGTGACAAGTTATCCCTTAGCAAAGAAACAAACAGAAGAGCTAAAGTTAAGATTACAAACTGAAAGCAAAAAAAAATAAATACAACTCAAAATGGCCTTTTTGGCAGAAGCAGAGTAGCAAAAAAATGCTAAGAAAGCATCTGCATAGAGACTCAACGATAATCCTGAGGGTTTGATGTTAATGTTGGAGTTAGTCACCAAGCACCAAGTTACAAGTAAAATCTCCAACAATTGTAATTAGTAATGATTTCTTAAAAACACACATAGGGCAAAGCTTATAGCTGTAGCATATGACAGTCTTGATCTGTGCAATTTATACGTATAAAATTAGTCTTACATTGTAGTAGAAGCGATTCAATTAATACAAAATGAAGGTAAATAAAACATCTTATTTAAAAAATAAAGAGGTGTGTTGCATGTGTGTAGGGCTCTATGAAATGTACACATAGAACCCTACTCTGTAAACTGATCACTTCCATAACACAGAAGACCAACCACAGATAAATGAGTGAATAAGTTTTCTTTGGTATATACAGCAGTACTAATAAGAAAATTCCAAACTAGGAAGGGTTAACTTGGGATAAAGAGAAAGCTTACTTAATCTTTATTCCTGGAGTTTATTCAGGTAATTTAGAAAATCTAATGACATGCCATAACCATTTTTAAGTCACCAAAAGATATAATGATTGCTGTCTGAAACATGCAAGAAGTGAGTCATATCTATCTAACAATGAAGCCCATCACAATCAGTGTAAGTTTCCAGAGAATTTAAGAATGGGAATACAGGGTACCCTATGTTTTTATATGATTTTAGCTAATTTTAGTTATCTTTAAGTCTATAGTTTTAGGATTCCTATGCTCTAAATAATATGTTGATAAAGAATACCACAAGCTTTTTTATCCATAATCTATAGAAAGACCCATTAAAATAAGAAGCTGGATTGGATTACTGCCCTTGAATGATGACTATGTATCAACATTCAATAATCTCCTTCCAGTTTAGAAAATGAGGCCTAGTTAACTATGGTAACTCTAAGAAGAGAATCTTCACAACTTAGCCAGTCTTTACCTGTTTGTTTCATGTCTTCATTCACTGAAAGTAACACTGTTCAAGAAATTAGGTTCTATAAAACAGAGGATTTTTCTGAAAACAAGGTGCAAGCCAAACATGCCATTGTTAGGAGCCAAGAAAAGAAGAATCATCTTAGGAGTCAAGAGAAGAAAGATCATCTTAGGAGTCATCAGAATATGAAGATTATCTTCAACTTACAAAAATGCCAAGCTAAAGATGTTAGCCAGAAGTAGTTTGGATGGTTTCTCCACATGTCAACACAAGTGTTTTCAGAGCCTACTTGATACCCAGTGGAGAACAAGCTTCTTACCAAATTTAGCTCTTCATTCTGTCTTACTGCTTCAGAATATGAATCATCAAGTTTTTTCTGCAATTCAGTCAACAGATCTTTCAGCTGCAATGAAGTTTAGAGTTTAAGATTGATCTCCTTATGACATCCCATGGTTTGTATGCAACTCGGAAGCTGTGCCACAAACAACTTATCCTGAAACATTTCATCACTGTTACAAACTTAATTTAAATTGAGAAGGTTCAAAGAATTCTATTGTAAGTACCTCTCTGACTTCTGTAACATAGGTAGATCGTTCAATTTCTGCCTTCTCTAGTTCCATTTCCAAGTGCTCTCGTTCTCTTCTCAACTAATAATGCAACAAAGGAGGAAAGTTAGCAGACACATTTATGATTTTCTTTCATTATGCTTCCCCACAATGGACAGTTATGATATTTATGAATATAAAACTGTATCATTACCTAAGATTTTCTTAAAAGCAAAACAATTGCAGTATTAGATAAATCTTAAAACACAGATCTTATGATAAGCCTTAATGCTAAAAATGAGTCAGGAGGATACAAATCAAACAATGGAATACATACATTTTCAATATCTTCACTTTCTCTTTTTAACCGCTCTAGCTCTTGTTCTGAGGATGTGAATGACAACTGCATCTGAAATATGAAACAATTATATAACCAAGTAAACCACCAAGGATATAAGGTTTCTATCTCATAGAATTTTAATCAGTTAGACATTTCAGAGGGTTTGAAATACATCTCATTTAAAGCCACACTGAATTTTAAAAGATCTTAAAAATGACAGTATCACATTTAACTTGATTTAAACTATGGTCCAAAGCTACCCTATTTGCATGATATTATATTAGCTAAAAGCACTTAACTTTTTAGACAAATAAGTGATAATCAGCTATATTTAATCCCCAAATGCATTAACATAGAATACCATCAGCAACCCTTTAAATTTTAACCCTTTAATAAAAAAAAAAAGAGTGTATAGCAATGATACCTTAATTTAAAAAAAGCATTTTTTAACCCTTTAAATTCTGCACAGGTTGGCCCAGGAAAACAAGTAAGCAATAGATGGCATTCTTTACCACACTCAAGTAAATGGAAAAAAATAAAGATCATACACTAACACTCAGTTTCCATGAAGAGGACTTACTTTTTCTTGAATACTGTATCATGGGTCATACATCAATGTTTTTAAAATTATTGTGAACCCCAAATTCTATGCCTTATGCTATCACATAGTAGTTCTCTAACTTTGAAAGCTCTTTACATTCTATGTCATTTCCCTTTAGTCATATTCAAAACCTCTGATTCTCAAATGTGGGTGGGTGCCAGAATCACTTGAGGGTGCTCTAAAACAGATCTCTGGCCCCAAAGTTGCAGACCCACACAGAGTTGGTAAAGCCCAATAATGTGCATTTCTAACAAGTTCCAAGGTGCTCTGACGCTGCTGTTGGGGCCCACAAACCAGCACTGGGAACCACTGCTCTAGACTCTTTTAAATACCTGTTTAATAGTCTTTTGTGATTCATCGACCTTAACTTTCCATTTATTTTCTTCTTGTTCCACACTTCTTTGTAGCTTCTGTAAAATTCCTTCCTACAAAAGTACAGCTGTTTTGAAAAATTCATGTTTTAATGACAAGATAAACTATTTAAGCCACTAAAGATTAAGTTAGTAATTTAAAAATAAAACCAAAATCATTTCCTACTGTTTCTGCAAGGACAGATTTGTATTTTTCACACTCAAGCTGTAACAATGTGTGTAATTCATCAGCTTCTTTTAACTTGTGCTCTAGAATCTGCAAAGAATGAAATAAAGAAAAATTCTCTAGTTTTACCATAAAGTTTGGTGTTTCAAATTTATTTCAGTACTTAATGGTATACTATGCATGACAAATGGTTTCTAACAGTTTTAAAATCAAACAATACATTTCAACCTTCTTAATAAGCAATGAAGTTCCGTGACATTTTTGGTCATTTGGCTTTTGCTAATAAAATTCCTGAATCAGCTTACTACAAAATACATAACAGAATTTTATAATAAGTAGGCTTGTCACTCTTTAGTGGGATGGTAAAATCAAAGCAGAACCACATGTGAAGTAAGGAGACAATGCCTATTCAACAAACATGGGAAAGGGGATTTTAATCAAGCCACTTGAGATACACAAAAAAGTTAATCTCCCAAATTTCAACAGTCAGTGATAAAAACATCTAGGTTCTGAACACTCTTACTGATGTATTTGGGGTTACTTTAGCAAACCAATCAGTTTCTACCTACCTACTTTAACTGATCTTAACTTTTTAAATCCAGGTTAAAAAGAGAGTAAAAGATGGTTAAATATTCAGTGTTAGATATCATTAAGATAGAGTTAAAGAAATAGCAAACATAAGCCTCATACACAAATCAAATGCCAGGAAGATCTATATACCATTTCCACCAAAATTTACACAAAATGAAAACACTTTCTTAGACTTTCTCCAAAGATCACTATTCTACTCATATCATGTATCTTTCCCAACCTTATAAAGAAAAATTATGATTTACTTTTTTTCCACATCTGGTTAAAATATAGATACTTCATTTCTTGAACTAACCGTAACTTCCTCTGAATCTGACGTTCCAGCCACACATTCTTTTGCCTTCTTTTCAAATCCATGCAACCATTCACTATAACTCTGTGGAGAAAAGTCAAAATTACCAATTTCCAAAAACATCTAAATGAAATAGGTAAAAGTTTTTAAATAACCAAATTATATGATTATAAAAGAAATCTACACAAAGACCACCCCTCTAGAAATCTGAAAAAATAATACAACTGCTACTTAAGTTGTCCATAACCAGCCTTGAAAATAAAACACTAAAAATATACCTATGTACTACAATCTAAACCAAATCTTATTTAACCTAACCAAGGATATATATGCAACTGAATTCTGGACTTAAATATACATAAAGCTGGGCTCAAACCCAGCCTCTACCACTTACTAGCACTAGGACTAATAGACTTGACTTTAAAACCACAGAAAAGCTAAAATTAATAATTTTTCAAAATGTTTTTCTCAGGTAAACTAGTTCTTCAAAACTAGGTATTCTCAGTTCATAAACTAAAAGGTTAACTGAAAATACTCTATTCAGAAGATTTCAAATTCTATGAAGATTCTGAAAATACTTCCAACTAAATATGTATTATAAAGTGCTTTTAAAACCATTTGAGAAATGATAACAATACAAAAAAAACATGTTCTTGTTTAAAACCAACAGAACTACATTTGTGCTGACAGGTTAGCTGATGCAAACACAAGGCATATAATAGTTTTAGTCAGTATTCTAAATTTTAGAATAAATTATGCTAGATTTTGTATGCTTCTTATCTGAATTTTAAGTGTTAATATTATTTGTTAGATACTTTAAATCAGATTTCCTCTTACTACTATTTTAAGTCTATCATTTAGCCTACTCCAGAAAAAGAACACACATGAAATTTCTATTAATTGCTTAACTTATGTGGCTGAGTCAAGATTCTCTATACTCTATCAAATAAGAACAAAAAACAAATAATCAGATGCTGAGATTATCCCATAAACCCCAAGTAGAACAGCACTATGTACAATATGGTATAACAGTACTTAATTCCCCACAGTACAAAATAGTCAAAAAGCCTCTCTACTTAAAAATTCTATTCTCACTTTATAAATTTGATTCAAGAGTAAATGTATTTTATTAAAATCCTACTTAGTTTAAAACACAGGAATTCAATATAAATTAAAGTCAGCTAAAATTTGATTTAGTTGCTTAAAGTTTATAAATCTCCCTCAAGGCCATATAGTTTAGATCTCTCCTATGCTGACTTGCTTTGCAGAAAAAGCAAAAGAAAAGCAGAAAAAAAATGTTTACATATAAAAGCCTTTTTATGTCTACTGACTATATTAACTTATCTTAATATTAAATTTAGCTATTGCTTTGTTCTCTGAAATAGGTTATTATACTTTATTCCTTTAAAAACTTAAAATGCTAGACCTTAAGTAGCACACAAAAAGTTTAATAAATTTCTTTAATACAGACGACATGCAGAAATATTCAACTTTCTAACTGGATGAAGAAAAGCCAAATATCATCCACGTCTTGCAATGATTTACATTTAGAGTGTCCCAAAGTCTTGAGTGTTGAGGGTAGGTAAATATTGCAGTTAAGAATTAATATGTTACATTGAAAAGGGTTTTTAATATTTACACAATCTTTAAAAAACAGAAATTATAAATCATTAACTCTCTTGCCTTATAAATTACTGCCACAAGTAAATTCCCAAAGTTTATTTCTATTAAGTGATAAAATATAGAATAGGAATACAGAAATAAAAACAGATTATGACCACAAAAGAAAAAATGTGAAACACCTGAACAACACCCCTTTCTCCTAAATTCAATCTAAGAACAACACTGGAAGTGACAATGCATCTATGTTTGCCAATGCAGGTTATTTTGTTACAGTTAAAAGCTGCCATAGTAGGTATCTACTCAACTGATCAAACCTGAATGTATCCTCAACAGTTACAATGGAAAACAAAGTGATTTTTGGTTTCTGCACAAATTAAATGTAGACTATATGTCCATATGATCTGAGTAACAGCTGAACTCAGACTATGCATAGAGCAGGCCGCTGAGTTTACGTACACCATACCTAGCACCCACAGAAAGAAGAGCCAAGAGCTCCTTGAAGAAACAATTGATTCCAAGTTTGGGACAGGAAATGTATATAATAAGCAACATCTTATCTTACCACAATGCAAATAAGCTACTAAAGTTCAGGAGTGTTATATCAAAGAAATTTGGTAGCCAGCCTAAATAGCCTAAAAGCTCCAAATGGCCAAAGAAAAGACAAGCAACACTGTGGACCTCCTGATGGAAGTACACAACACTACTCATGATGAATCCTTGCCTCCACCCAATCCTCCACCCAAAGTAATGAGCCTGAATCTAATCAGGCCTCAACTGACTACCAATTTATGGTATATACAAAGGACAGAAGAATGTATTCATACAGGGATTCATTCAGCAAAATCCAAACTGGGAAACTGCATATGAAACCACTAAATTTAAAGAAGTGGAGAAGATGGGGGTGCAGGAACCTTTGCTGACACACAGAAGGGAACCTGTGGAATAAAGAAGATCTATGAGACATCTTAAATTAATCACAGGTTGACCTTTTTTGGGTCTTGATTAAAACAAACTAGTCAGTAGCTATAATTTCATGAGAAGAGAAAATTTATTTGAAAACTGAAGAAATGTAAGTATGACTATATGTATGAAATTTAAAAAAATTTTTAATGTAAAAACAGGCTTTTTTGGAGGAATCTTTATCTTTCAGAAATATGTACTGAAATATTTACAGATGAAATGCTCTGATGTTTGACATCCCTCAAAATTTCTGGAAGTGCTGAGAGAAACAAGGAGGTGAAATAAGATTGTATACCATGCGTGCCCAGTATGGGTAATTGCAGAATAGGGATACTGGGTACATCAGGCTCATTATGCTAATGTCTCTCCTTTCGGGGGTGAGTGGGTATACAATTTTCCATTAAAATAAAAAGACTTACCATCCAACAAGAGGATATAACCATTATAAGTATCTATGCACCCAACATAGGAGCACCTAAATATATGCAACAAATACTAAGAGAATTAAAGGGGGAAATAGAATGCAATGCATTCATTTTAGGAGACTTCAACACACCACCCACTCCAAAGGACACACCCAGACAGAAACTAAGTAAGGAGACAGAGGCACTGAACAATGCATTAGAACAGATGGCCCTAACTGACATCTACAAAACACTCCACCCAATAGCAGCAGGATACACATTCTTCTCAAGTGCACATGGAACATTTTCCAGAATAGATCACATACTAGGCCAAAAAAGAGCCTCAGTAAATTCAGAAGGATTGAAATTGTGCCAACCAGCTTCCCAGACCACAAAGGTATGAAACTAGAAATAATTGTGCAAAGAAAACAAATAAACCCATAAACAAATGGATGCTTAACAACATGTTCCTAAAAAACCGATGGATCTATAATTAGCAGACATAATGTGTGTGTGTGGGAGGGGGAGGGTGGGTGGCATGGGGAAGGAGGTACAACACAAAAGAGACAAGTAGTGATTCTATAGCATCTTACTATGCTGATGGACAGTGACTGTATTGGGGTATGTGGTCGGGCCTTGATAATGGGTGGAGTCTTGTAACCATAATGCTGCTCATGTAATTATAGATTAATGATACAAAATAAAACAAAAAATAAAAAAAATAACTATTTCAGAAGTTTCAGTTCAAGTATACCAAAGTTCTGTTATTGTAAAAGCATCAATCCAGAATAGGAATATGTAATAGTAAAAATTTTTTCACAGGGAAAAAAAAAAAAAA